TAGTCAAAGCTCTGGCAATAACCAGTGTTTCTGATTTCTGATGCAAGGCAACAAGTATTATTGAACTTATGCAAATAACCATGCCACCATGAAAGAACAATACTCACAAATACTTTCCAATTCTGGAGTGGTCAGGAAGGAAGAAAAGTTTGCTTCCATTCTGTTTTCAAAAAAAATTTTTTAACAAATTGCTGAGCTATCAACAGCTTAAAAGAAAAATATCCTTAAATCTATAAAACAAAGCATAGAAGAAAATCAGTAATGTTTTAGTCGAAAGTCATAAAATTCTATTTCACCAGCTCATTCTCATGTAATTAATCTCTCTTCTGTTAAGTTTGCAGTGTTACTGTGGTCAATGTGGTCCAGTCTTTCTGTTTAGATCCTAGAAGTTGAGAAATATGATCTCAAAGCTATCAAACACCTATATTCAAGAGTACTTAACAGAGTCTCATTAAATTCCTTAAAAGAGGCAATTTTTGTTTTGTAGCTTATTAAAAATATTTTAGAAAGAGTATCAGCATAAAGCATTTAACCATGGACAACAAATTTTTGAATGGCCGTGGTTCGAGATTTGATTTTCCATAACTCAAAATTGACAAATTTGATCGTTTCTATGACATACTACATTAGAATTATTTAGCATTACAAGTAAGATGAATAACATACTAATACATAACAGATATTTAAGAATCTCATACAATTCTAGAACACCCATTGACAGAAATTTGTATACACAGAGAGCTAAACACCATTTTATAATTGACAATATTTCCCACATAATATCAACATGTCAGAAAGTCTAATCTGTCTTTCTTAGACATCCAAGGGCCCTGTTAAGAATTTCCAAAAATTAGTTCAAAGTCAAAAACTTAAAATGGAAATGAAATTTGACTTGGGAAGTCTGTCGAATATCAGTTTACAACACTTCAGCAAAAGAGGATCAGATCACTCTGACTACCTCTCATTTACTTAATCAAAGTGACAATTAAAGAACATTTTAAAGCATAGCTATAAAAAACTTTACTCTTAAAAAAAAAAAACTTTACTCTTTAATAGAGTAGAATCAGGCTTTTTAACTATAGTAGCTAAGAACCTGATTAAGACAGCAGAAGGCACACAAAGTTCTTTTTTCCTTTATACTCAAAAATCTTAAAAAGTTAAAAAAACTTTATTTTTGTTAATATTATATAAAACAAATTTAAGTCTTTATCAGTGTTTTCAAATAAATTTAGTCAATTCGAGTTAGTTTTACCTTTCAAGATTCCACATTTCCTTTTTTCCAAATTTTTATATTCATTTAGTTTTATCTATAATATTCCTTTTCCATTCACTTGCTCTAAAACAATTTTCAAACATCCTCTGCATCAGAAAAGACTACTCTTGAACAAAATCAGTAATATTTTAGTCAAAAGTCATAAAATGCTATTTCACCAAAGATACCCTCACATCTTTTTATTTCTTGTTCACCAAAAAAAATCTTAATTTTCTCTGTATATTTTGGATCCTTAATTGTTTCTCTAATTTCTAGTTTTGGTTACTATTATCTTCGAATTTTAACATACATTTTACAACATATAGAAATATTTTCTTACAACGCAATTGTTAACAGATTCAATTATGTTTAGCTTCTTTATAACATATAAAACAAGATGCCAAGTATATAGACTTAAACTTCTACTTAATTAATGCTTTAAGGTTTAGAAATCACTAAACATTTCATTACTATTACTTCACTTAACATATCATGGCTCTAAGATTTAAACTATTTTGAAAAACATAAATGAGAAGTTCAATTACAAACGTTTACCTTTTTGCTTGTTTTTAACCATTATTTGAATTACTTATGGAAAACAAGGCTATTTATTTAAGGTGTTTTTCCTCTGAAGTAAAGCAAAACCAAACTAGCCCTACACCAGCTAGTCTCATCTAAAGACTGAATTACTGGACATAAGAGAGTTCCTCAAAGTTTTCCAAGTTTTCCTGTACCCTAAGTGTCCATGTGGTACCCAGGATGACTATGAAGAACAGGGGTCATTTGTGTCCTTGGTTCACATGCTGGCAACTATGAAGACATTTATATTTATATTTAACCATTTAAAATCAGCTTTGTAAAGATTTTACCCAAGTTACATGAACTTGAATAGCATCTGAGCCTATTCTAACCTATGAGCATGCATTTAAGTCAATTTGGTACCACAGACAGACAAATAGACACATAAACACAATATACCACACACATGTGTACACACATGTAATACAGAGTCAAAGAACTACAGCTTTTATTTTAGAATTTTAGCCAAGAGACTGCAAAACTCATTAGTTTGAAAGGACAGTTTGAGTCAAATCGCATCACTACATGGAACAAGTTAGTTCATCTGCACATATAGCCGAAGTCTTCTATCCAATTCTAGAGAATGCGAATCAGGAAATTTGCACTATAAAGGCACAAAGAACACTGCCCAAAATGGATACCAAGGGAACATAAAAGTGTAGAAATTTCTTGTAATGTTTTACTAAGTATGCAGATGGCATAGGAACTAGTTAACAAGTTCATTAAAATTAGACAGGTGACTGACTCAAAAGAGTTTCTTGACTAACTTAGGCAGTTACTTCTCCTTGTAGCAAATTGCCTTTTATGGTCAGTTTGTCTTACTGAATCAGATATTTAAAACTTTTTCCTAACAAAAGCATGTAAAGAAAACTGAAAGTAAAGAAAGCCAATTTCATGTAGTAATCAGCATTCAACCAAAGATCAAATGTCCGCTCACTGTACAAATAATTCCTACTATTAACCAGTTAACAAAGAACAGACAATAAAATCCCTTAAGTATGGGACTCCTTATTAAGACCAATTATTGAGAGCTTGACACATTTGGTCAAAAAAAGTGTGCTCTGTGAATCTTACATGATTTGTGCTTCCAGTCTTCTCTGGCTGGCCACCTGTAACTCACAGTCTTGAGATGGCAGGGACCAAGCAAGAACTCCCGAAATTCAGCTCTAAAACATCTAAGAGGATAGAAGAAACTCGTCAAATCTTTGCAGAGAACCCACAGCAAAGTTAGTCCAGATAGGTGTGGGCCTAATGAGAACTGAAAAATGTGCCGGCCTGAACAATGGGCTCCATGAGTTCTAGGCCTGTGTTCTGCCCTCCTTAGGACACATGACACAGAAATAGAGACCATGTCTAGGCAGGAGAAAAACAATGAGTACTCATATCAGAAAGACACTATGGGACAGTAGTTACATCACTGGACTTTTACATGGTCAACCACGGTTTGAGTCCTGGATCCGGCAGCCCCAAAATCACACCAGGTTGTGTGTATGCATGCCCAAAATCTCAGGAAGAGAAGAGAATGGAGAACAGATTGTGGTGTGGCCATCCCTCCTTGGGGGAGGGATTTATCAAGTTCCCCTCACCATCTCTCTCTCTTTCTCTCTCTCTCTCTCTCTCTCATTAAGCACAGAAACCTAAGGTAAAAATCTCTTAAAAAAAAAAAAAAGAAAAAACACTAATGTCACTATACCCTGGCAGGACTAACTATTTCATACAAATCCCTTTTTCCAATTAATCATAATTTAGAAAAGAAACTAAATGATTTTTGCCATCTGTTGAACTGAATTCCACAGACACCAGTAGTCCGACTCTTAAGTTCTTACCTATTTGTGCCACCTTGTCAGGTCCTGAGTTCTCTCGGCTATGACTTCTAGAAAAGCAGACAGCTTTATTTACTCTGGTCAAGAAGGCAAGTAAATAAGGGCCAAGGAAATCACCCTGAGGTTTGCTAAAAACAACCCTAACACAGAGGCATATTAGTAAAGGAAAAGACACACAGACATTTAGCGTATACCTGAGCATATGGGAACCACACAAACTGCCCCTTTAATAAAGGCCAAACATGGGACCAGCAGTTAGTATAATGGCTATGTCACTGGACTCCCATGTAGTCAACCGCGGTTTGAGTCCCGGACCCCGTGGCTTAAACTCACACTGGGCACGTGCGCGTGCATGCCCAAGATCCCGAGAGGAGAAAGGAGGAGAAGGGATTGCAGCGTGGCCATCCCCCCAGAGGTTGATTTATCACTTCCTGTCTCTATATCTCTCTCTGTCTTTCTGGCGAGTGCACGCGCCCTATAGCAAAAACCTCTCCAAGAAAAAGAAAAAAGAAAAAGAAAGGCCAAACTATTGGAAATTGTACATTCTGAAGGGCAAAGGAGGTCTGAGTTATGCTAAGGAAAGGTGAGGGAAGAAAATGCAAATTACCTTGTCTTTCTAGGCCAGAGGTCACACTTCTAATCCCCTTTGCCTCCCTTCCAAGAAAAGGCAGAGGGGTAGCATCAGAAAATACTATCTACAGCTGATGTCGGCTCTACCGTAAATGAATGGCTCATGTGTAAATGAATGCACATTTATTCTCACAGAGGGTTAGCAGTAGACTCTATAACTAAAATTCTAAGCACGTTACTTTTATTTTTTTCCCACAAAAAATGATATTGGAAGTAAGTTACCTAATTTAAACACACATTCTTTGGCCCCTGTTCCCTGGATCCAAGGGGACACTGAGGGCAAATAATGTTACGTAGTGTTATCTTTTTCCCTTTCCTTAGAATCGTAGCTGAAAGTTCCCAATTCTACAAAATAAACCCTAAGGACTACAAGATGGAGTAGAGCTGTCTCTCAGTTGCTCATAATGATGTCCTAGTCATGACCTATTGAAACAAAACTTATAAAATCGAATTTACAGGTTATCAAATTTCCAAACAGGAAAGGCTTCTTGTCCCTGTATCCAAAGAGGGAGCACACACCAAACAAATGTCTGTCAAAGCAGAAACCAAACGTCTGAAGGGAGGCTCATAGCTGCCCTTTAACCAAATGGAGGAAAATCCACCAAACATTCTGTCAAAACAGAAACTGAATATCTAAGGGGAGAGACAGGCCTTAGTGTTGTCACACACGATTCCTGTAACTTACCAGACATCTACCAAATCCAATCCAATGCTGTGTTTCCTTCACCACAAAACTGAAATCACTGTGGGTCAATGGCAACTGGTTGGCGGACAATCACCCAGGACTATCCCCGAGGCAAGGTGTTCAGGCAGCTGCAAGATGAGTTATGAGAATGGCCATCAGCCAAGGGTCACTGTACCTTGGGCAAGATACCCACACAGGACCTTAGTCCCGTCGTGGTTGCCAATAAACTCTTACCGAACTCAAAGCAGGTTCCCTTGCCCAAGCACTATAAAACCACACTGTGGGCACATGGTGTAATGAAGGAAAATCCAGTTTTATTGCAAAGCACAAAGCAAGTAGAGCAAGCAACTCATGCTGAAAAGACCGGGTCTCCCTGAGGTGTTCCCCAGATGCATTTTTAAAGGCAAAATTAGAGGCAGAGATCCCAGGCACACGATCAGTTCAAGAAGGTGTGATCTTCTCTGAGGCATTCTTGATTGGCAGGCCTTAGATAATCAAATTTCTGTTCAGGTTTCTGTAGTCATTCAGCCTGAGGTCTTACATATTGAAATGAAAAGCTTATCTTTCCTTTAAGTGAGTTTTAGAGGCCCTTATTCATGTCCAATGTTGTTTCATTGTCATAACCAAAATCTGAAGTCTTATCCCTTACTGTTGCCATTACAATGTAAACAGACCTTGTAATCCAAGAACCTTAGAAAATATACTTTACTTTTAGTTCAGCCCTTATAAATTTTCGGTTTGGGAAATTCTTACTTTTTCTTTAACAGGAGGGTAAACTGAGGACCCATCCCTCTTAAGTGTTCTCTGCTTGGTTTCAAATGGGGCACATTCATGCCAAAATCTCTTCTGCTCCATTTTTCCATCCAGACTTTGGGCATGTGCACACATGCAGTCAGTGTGTTTCTCAAACCACTGGCAACGTGATTCAAACTGCAATGGGGCATGTGGTATTCATCTTCCTTAACCACTAGACTACAGGGCCTGTCGTGCAAAATAACCCTAATATTTTATAGACAATGCCATATACAGTTGGAAATGTCCTAGTAGGTGAAATTTAACTCAAAAAGTCACCTATAGAGTATCTATGTGCTTAGTACAGAATTATACAGATAGTACATATTTTTAGAAATTGGTAGAATAAAGACTATCTTCAAAAATATTTAATTACTAGGGTCTGGCATTGGTGAAGCAGTAAAACATGACACTCTGCGAGACAAAGTCACATGGGAAGGCTCAAGTTTTGTGTCTGGAAAACTCCCTAGTGTGCTGAACATGTGTGTACCTATGATCCAGATTTGGCTGAGGTTGGAAGTCGAACATGGTGTCAAGACCCTGTTGGGGATGCTCTCTCTCATGAAAGAAATGAATACATAAAAACTGTAGAATATATATATTTAATTATCACATTTATATGTTAAGATTGTAAAGCAGATATTTAAGAAAGTGAATTCAGGGGCCGGCAGATGACTTGGTGGTTATGTCACTGGACTCTCATGTTGGAGAGCTTGGTTCAAGTCCTGGACCTTATGGCTTGAAAATCATGCTGGGTGTGTATACCCTGCAGGGACGGAGGGGATATGTGATTTCTCACTTTACCTCTCACTGTCTCTGTCTCTCTCTCTCCCTCTCACTGTCTGTGTGTGTGTCTCTCTCTCTGGCAAGTTTACATGCTCTAAGGCAAAAACTTCTTAAAAAAAAAAAGAAAGAAAGAAAGTGAATTCAACAGATTTAGTGTTAGACATCTATGAGCTTCATTTAATATAGACAGTACAGCATGTAGAATCAGCAATGCATTGCTTAAATAAAATACTTAGCAAAAGTAGTAATCTAGAGTCACAGAATTGTAGCTCAAAAAAAGATGAGACAACTTAATTCTGTTCACTCTGTGCACAGGAGAAGGCCTGGATCTGAAAGGATAAACTTCTTGCCAAAGGTCACATGTTAGGTATTAGCAGAAACAAATTTAAAAAGCACTGGTCTTCTGTCAGGAAGTACAGGGCTACTTACTTTTTTAGTTCATGAGATTTTTCTGTCTTTTAATGGAGTTTATTATACAAAAATAATTTTTTAATCATTTTATTTTTAAAGAAAGTTAATCAACCAATTAATAGTTCGGTGTCCTTATTTTCCTGAATAGTTACAGGAATTTCCTAAATATGAAAGCCCACACTTCGATCATCAGGTTTCCCTCGAGGCAGAAGGAAGGCAGTGTGAGTGAGCTGTATGTCGGGTTGCTGGATAATTTATCACTCAAACCAAAACATTTTTGTGAGAGAGGTATTATTCATATTTATGCTGGAACAACAAGCATAAACCAGGACTGCCCTGGGGCGGACGAGGATGTATGGTCATCCTAGACAAACAGTACTTGTTTTGCAGATTTTTTTGTTTCCTCCTAAGGGAGCTGTGGGCCACAATTCTAATGATGAATGTTAGTGTGGGGGGCTTGTTTTATTTGCTGAATTAATTATGTACTAAATAATAAGCAAGATCCACAACTTGAATTTAGTCCAAGGAAATTAAATATCTAAAATTTACACATCCAGAAATTATACATCATTTGAGGGCATCAGAATTAGTAACTATAACATGAATCAGGTCTCAAATAGGTTAGGAAAATTACAAGTTGGTTTGAGATATTTCAACCCCTCTCCAGTCCCATTACTAATCATGAAAGCAACACAAATGCTTTGTTTTCTTCTTGACTTGGGTCACATTCCATAGAGGGGTGATGTAAGAGTTTTAACCAAGCATAGAATAGTAATGAGCAATTTGGGAGATCAGTTCTAAAACCTGCCCTTTGGTCACACACAACCAGCACTTCGAATTTAATAACACGGGACCATTTGGATTTGCAAGGTTAATTGTGCACCTGTTTACTTTTGGCATATTTTCTGAGAGGTTAAACTGGAAAAGCAAAGGGTAGGTTATGGTCCACTTGTCCAAGAAAAAAATATATAAGCCTACGAGTCTTCTAGTACTTTTCCTCTTACATTAGAAAATATAGGCTTGGCCACTTCAGTTCTCCTCTGCAAATAGCCAAGGCCACTTGACTTCTGCTTGTAGCCAGTAGTTTCTAGCTTAGATGCACATTAGAATCACCAAGAACTTTTAGAAATCTTGATGCATAGACCATACCTCAAGCCAATAAAATTATTATCTCTGGTGTTGGAAGGCAGCCACCAGTATTTTTTTTTCCTGTAGAGAAATTTTTTGCTATAGGTCATCTGTGTTCACTGGAGAAACAGAGAGAAAAGGTGAGAAATCACCCCCCAGGGAGGATGGCCACATGCAATCCCTCCATTCTCCTCTCAGGATGTAGAGCATGCACACTCATGTGCCTGGCATGAGTCTCAGGCCTCCAAGTCCAGGACTCAAACTGCGGTCGGCCATGTGGGAGTCCAGTGACGTAACCATTGCATCAACTGCTAGTTCCAGTGCCAGTATTCTTAAACGAATAATTCCAATGTGCAGGCAGGATTGAGAACCATTACTGAAGGTTCAGCTCTACCCCTAGCACTGAAATCATTTAAGGACTAATTTGAGGAGTTTGAACCCAGTGCTCCAAGCAGTCTGAAAGATTCAAAATCAAGTTATAAAACTAGTTCAACTTGGGGCCAGTAGGTGGCGTGGTGGTTAAGGAACTGAACTCCCACATGGCCAACCATAATTTGAGTTCCAGACTTGGCAGCTTGCTGTCTCACTTTCCTCTCTCTCTCTCTCTCTCTCTCTCTCTCTCTCTGGTGAGTGCATGTGCCCTATAGCAAATTTAAAAGATAATAAGAATAAAAATGAATAAATAATTATTAAAAAAAAATCTAGTCTGACTTAGTTCCAGTAACTGAACTCTTAGAATTGTAAACTGGCATAAGAAAAAGAGGGGTAATTAGCTTAGATAGACTTTTTTTTAAAATCAGGATTGGGATTTAAGTTGGCTTCATGACCTTGAATTATTTACTTATCTTCACTGAGTCTCGGATTCATTTTCTGAAAAATGGGCCAGTAACACCTACCGTTTGCTACTGTTGTTTGCTTCATTAAGAAAACCAATCTCCTCTTCCATCTAATAAAGTTTTAGAAGCTTCTATTTCTAGAAGTGTATAAATCCCTGCCATGATAACTTCAGATTCTAGAATGTGGCCTCTGCCTTATTTGTGTGGATGTCTTGTCCATGACTGTTACCTCCTTCTGACACCAGTGCGATGACTGGGATTCTGTCTCCCACTGACAGATTTTCCTGATATTATCTTTCCACACACGTGTACCTTTGTGTGCTGCCCCTTCTAGATGTTCAGTTTCTGAGCTCCTGCTTCTAGACTTTCTGTCTATGTGTCAGTGACACTTGCTACCTGTAAGCCACACTGTGTACCAAGTTCCATTGCCTGGCTAGGCTTCATCCTATGACCTATTTGGGCTATCACCCAAATTCTGCCTCATCTCTGAGAAGTGTGTTGGGCTTATTCATTCAGTCAATGCTTACGGCATGTGTACCAAACCCTCACACATGTGCTCTGTGCAAAGAAGATTCACAGGATGATAAAGGACAATAGCAGAAGGTATAGTAAGTACAGTGGCAGGGAAATTTCCAGGCCATGAACATCCATATCCTCTTTCTCATCAAAGCTTAATACTGTTACATCTGTTTATGTCACAGCATAGACTAACTGTTAAAAGTGAAATTATTTTGATCTTTTTTATGAGGTAAGACTGACAAGGAAAATGGTTATCGTTTTTGATAAAGATTAGTTAGAAGCACTATAGTGGATACTTGAGTTTTTCTCTATGTAATCATTGGTTATCAACTTAATCTTTTAAAAATTATTTATTTATTCATTTATTTACAGTCATTCATCTTACATCAATACAGTATAAAAATGAGATTTTCCTTCCAGTATACACTGTATATTGGCCCAATCAAGGATATAACCATACATTTTATCATCCACAAACAATTTTCTATTTCTTGTTTCTTATATATTTTGCTTTTTTTTTCCCCTTGATTCCCTACCTCTCACCCTCTGCCAATTCCCTCCTTCTTCCCTACTGTCTCTGGTATGTACAGTTGTTTCCATGCCTTCTTTTTCACATTTTGTTGATTCATTAAAGATCTTAATTAATTTAAAGTCTT